TCGGTCAGTCTTGATCTGTTCCCCGTTTGTAACCAGTGGCCCTCTGCTTCAGCCCCCTTCCCACACAGTGCTACCCTCCTCACCCTGTTTGGACTGTGGCACCTTAGGCAGAGCTGCTGCTGCCCGTTCCTATCATGGCCAGCATTCTCAACCACATGGACTCTGCCTTGCTGCCCCCATGCCCTTCGTGGAAGCCCTCCCACCCCTCAGGCTCTGACATCCCACACTGAACTGCCTTCCAGATGTTCTTTGTACTCTTCTGGGTTCTAATACCATTGCTGGTCAGCCTCTCTACTCCACATGGATACTGTCATTACCCCATGCCAGGCTCAACCCCTCCTTGCCCCACTAAGTCATGAAACTCCAAGCAGGCCTCCCCCCCATGGAGATTCCCTCCTCATCTTGCTCAGATGCTGGCTTTCCGTTACCAGGACCCTCACCCTGCTTGGTCCCCAGCACACCATGCCCGATCACCCCTCAGTGGGATACCCTTCTCCTCCCACTTGGACTCTAACACCTTGTACCAGGTTGCCCCTCCAGGACAGCCTCCTCTCCTCACCTGAGTCTGTCGTCCTGTTGTGGACTACCATTCTCCCAGGTGGCTGCTGCCTTCCTACACTTGGTGAGCCTTTCCCACCATCCCTGCCCCTTGCTCTCTCCCATACTGATTTTGCCTGCTCCCGTCTCAAGACTTTGAACTGAACTAAAAGAGAATTTGGAGAACTCTTAAAATTTTTAATGGTTTTCCATTTTAATACTTACGGCAAAGTGGAATCCCTTTATATTCATGCTGAACTTACATAAGACCAGTCATCCATGTGTACACAAACTCACCAGTTGGAGTGATTATTGTCCCAAGTGAAGTGAGATTTAAAAAGGAAGTCCATGCCCTTAGTTCAGTTCAAGAGCCAGCAGCTCACCAGCTAACAGATTTAGACGTAGGATGCTCTCATTCAACCTGACCCCACAACTCAGGCTAACTACTTTGTGTTTACACAGACCATGTCCACCATATTTTGAGGGCAATTGAAGGGCTTTTTCAGGGTGATTTTGACTATGGCCTGTTGCTACCGTAAGTGCTGTCTTTAGAATCTCCCCTTGCCCTTCTTACAAGGACCTGTGGGGCCCTAGGTCAGGAAGGCAGTAGGTGGAGAACACTTCTCAAGTTTAAAACTTTCTATAACGTCACGTGAAATACAAGCCTCTCTATTTGACTCTCGTGCCTGGGAATGTGGGCAGAGCCTGGGACAGAGTTACCTGGGCCAGAGTGGGTAAGAAGGGAGAGAAGCCTGGATCTAGGCAGGTGTCTGGGGAGCAGGCTGTTCCCTTTTCGCTTTTCGCTGTCTTCTGATTGGGTCATGACGGTGCTTCATGATCACCTTCTACAGTTCAAAAGCCTAAACTAAATAAACTAAATAAAGCACTTGGGAAAGACTTCTAGCTCCTTCCAACCAAACTGTTACTCTGCTGTGTGTGTCTCTTTCCAATGAGGACCATAGCCTTCTTGAGTGCAGGACCTTTTGTGCCATAGCCTTGGATGGAGCCCGCCACAGTCCCCACTGTGATACTCCACAGTGGGGACTTAAGCCATTACACAAAGGCAGCAAGCAGAGGCGGACCAGAGATGTTTGCACCCTGTTAGAGTCCAGGGCGGAGCAGCGGGCTAGAGTGTTTGTTTCCTGTCATTGGTCTAGGAAGGATTGTTTATTCAACGATGACAGACACACGCAGACTGGAGTGCAGGGTCCCTGCAGCCTCACCTGCAGCCTGGCAGACTGCGCAAGCTGTTGTGGCGGCTCTAATGAAGCAGGACAGGAAACGCCGCTGGATAGAGCTCTGCTGTGAACCCTGGCCTCCCAACAGGGAAAAACAGGGGCCCTTTGAAGAAGAAGACAGCTGGGTTTTGGTTTCAAAACCTTAACACTGCCATCACTAGATATTCATCTGTCAGTGCACAGGGGACAACATGTGGGGAACAGTTGTGTCCAGTCAGGCCGAAGGGAGAAAGAAATGGCTGATTTCCAGGGTAACTGCAAAATTTCTTGTGGCCAGTGGTTCTGCTTAGCATAGCCAAATGAATTGATTTGTGAGGCTGAGGCTCTGTGTGAGAACCAGGGTGCCATCTATAGTGGGCTAAGAGCTCCTTCCCACGTCCCCTCCTTAATCCTCACAGCAGGTGACGTGGAGGCTGGAGCCTCTGTGCCCAAGCCATGTTGGTCAGTTGAATCTAGCCATCCAAAACTGCTTTGATGGATACTGTAGTCCTAAACTGTCAGAGCATCCAGCCTGCCCCATATCACTTAATCTAATATTTCTAAAACAATTCCATTTTTCTCTTGTTGACTTGAAGTCACAATTTTCTTGTAAGAATATATTTCCCCTTCTTGCCTTCCCCCCAACCCCCTCTGACTTTCAGCGGCTAGCATTAACTAGTGGTATTTTGCTTTCAGGAAAAAAAAAAATACTGTAATCCTTGGTCCAATTTGTTTACTAAGAGTCGTCTAATCTGTGCAAGAGTTTTCTTCTGAAGGGATTTCTTGTTCCTACTATAATGGCTTTTAATTCGGCCGAGGTTTATTTAACAGAATAGGAAGGGAGAAACTTATCTCCTCCCTAATCCCTCTTGAATGTTTACATTACTCTGCCAAAGTAAATGCTGTGCAAAGTGGCAGCAGTCATTTGCTGTGTAGTAGTCAATATGCAGCTGCCAGGGCTGATTGAAACATATTAACGTCAGTGATAATACTGTCATAGAAGTGAAAAGTTAAGTTGCTTATCGGTATATTTTGATAAGCTACTTAAATTTTACAGTAGCATGTGCTGGCTTTAGACAGACGTTAATGACAGAGGACTGTGCACTTTATCTGTTCTCTTTGTTGCCTCTCACTTCATTTATTACCCTCAGTGGCGCAGCCGGTAATCTGTACAGGGTGCTGATTCCCCTCTCCCTGGAAGGATATGACATCTGTGCGCTACCTTGTGTCCATCTCTGTCTGTAATGGACTCTGTTAGCACAGCAGGGTGGATGTGACTAGGCCGGCAAGCGCTTAGTACGACGTTTTTCTCGCTTTGCTGTTTGATGTCACTTTGGAAAATTTCCTTATAGAGAACAAAGCCATTGAAAGTAAGCGGCAAAACTTCTTGGGGGTGTGGATACTTTTCAACAATCCCATAGGATGCGTGTGCCCTTGCCGTCAGTCTTTATCTGGTTTTATATGCCCAGTAAACGCTGAGCACTGACGGTGTGCCAGGTGCCGTTCTTGGCACTGGGAAGACAAAGTAAAGAAAGATAGGCTCCTTCCTCTCTGTTGGCATGTGGTCTGTTGAGAAAACAGACATGCCATTGAGGACTGCGTTGTGTGGGGAATGTTACAACCACAGCATTCTCATGACCAGGGCAGCACAGAAAAGAGAGAATTAGGGCACATGAAGTGAGGATGGGGTGGGGGTGGGGGACCGTTAGGAGGATGAGTAGAAATCAACTAGACTAGACCACAAAGATCAGGGATAAAAGGGCCCAGCGTATGTAAGCCCAGGCAGGCTCGAAGATGCCAGCACATTCCCGGCATGAAAGGAGTGAGGGGAGCATGTGTTTGGGGAAGTAGAGAGAGGACAGCCACAGCAGTGGGCAAGGGTCTTGGCAGTATAGAGCCCTGAGAGTTCATCCTAACAAATGTGGACTTGATCCTGGAGTGATGGAGCATCATTGCAGGGATTAAGTACAATGTGCGATGAAGATTTGTATTTTAGAAAAACCGTTCTAAAACTGATGACCAGGTGGCTCACACCTATAATCCCAGCACTTTGAGAGTCTGAGGTGGGCAGATCACTTGAGGTCAGGAGTTTGAGACCAACCAACATGGTGAAACCCCATCTCTACTTAAAATAAAAAAATTAGCCAGGCATGGTGGTGAACACCTGTAGTCCCAGCTACTCAAGAGGCTGAGTCAGGAGAATCACTTGAACCTGGGAGGCAGAGGTTGCAGTGAGCTGAGATCACGCCACTGCACTCCAGCTTGGTGACAGAGCGAACCTCTGACTACAAAAATTATCCAGCTATGGTGGCGCATGCCTGTAGTCCCAGCCACTTGGGAGGCTGAGGCAGGAGAATTACTTGAACCCAGGAAACGGAGATTGCTGTGAGCTGAGATCACACCACTGCACTCCAGGCTGGCAACAGAGCAAGACTCAGACTCTACAAAAATTACTCAGGCATAGTGGTGTGCATGCCTGTAGTCCCAGCTACTCGGGAGACTGAGGCAGGAGAATCACTTGAACCTGGGAGGCAGAGGTTGCAGTGAGCTAAGATTTTGCCACTGCACTCCATCCTGGGCAACAGAGCAAGACTCCATCTCAAGGGGAAAAAAAAGGCCACACAGAGTGGATTGCAGGACTGAGGTCAGCAGCCAGGCTGCTCTCAGAGTGAAGGGAGCAATGGTCAGGACCTGGTGGAGGACAGTGGGGACGGTGAAGTGGAACTCATGCTAAAGTAGGTAGAAAGATAGCGTGTGATGGGTAGAATGTCTGTTGCAGTAACATGGATGGCTTTGGGCTCATGGGGCCTTTGGGACGACCCTTTGCGGATGCCTGCAGTGGGAATGCTGTGTGTGTGTGTCTGTGTCTGTTCCTGTCCCTGTACCATCACGAGAAATTGAATAGAAGCTTTCCTGGGAAGGGTGGGTGTGCTGGGAGAGGCCAGGGGGCTACTCAGAGATGGTGCCTGATTGTGGAGTCTGCTTTGAATTTCTTCTCTTGAACTGTTCTAGCTCAGAGGCATGGGAATAATTTATAATGGACATTCAATCCTCTGCCTTACACAGGCAGTTTTTTAAACTCTCAGAAATAATTAGCATTTCGCCAGTCTGTGTTTCCAGCAGTCTTGGACAGGAACTCTTTTAGGACATAGAGCAAAACTGAAATGTATCAGTCTTGAATTAGATCCTGGTTAAAGTTTTTGACCTGCATACTAATATTTCATGTGTTTCCTCTTCTTCCTCCAGCTATCTCCCCTGGTTCGAGGTATTTTATAAGCTACTTAACATCCTGGCAGATTACACGACAAAAAGACAGGTATTTGCCTTTTAAAAATAATTCTTTTTAACAAATAAGCTTTAATTTTTATGATGACAAAGTAAAACATGCCTTACATTTTAACCAAAAAAGTAATGCAGTCCTATTTTAGAAAGTGTGGGAAATTCAGAAAATAATAGGAAGGAAAAAAATCATCACTCCTAATTTGCCCCTGTTCCCTTCCCGAAAATAAATATTGCTAGCATTTTGGGTTGTTTTCTTCCTTAAGTTTTTCTTTGCATTAAAGAAATGATATCTAGATCCTTAACATTCACAGAGTTAAGGTACACAATGTCTAATATTCCCAAGCAGCGTTGGAAGTTCATGACATGTATAAAATTATAATTTTGCTGAGGCACAAATTTCAGTTGCTTGTCATTCTGCAAATCTGGGGTTTGCAAGTAACACACTTAACTGACAAGTGACCTACCCAGCTGTCCTGAGTTCCCATTTCAGTAAAGCTTTGTGGTGCTTTTATAGTACCTTTTGTAAGGGCCTGAAAATTATGTTAAAAATACATCTGTACTTTGCTGTACTTTTGGAAGAAGTGGTAAGGTAAAGCATCTTCTGTGGATGTCAAGGCCAGTTGGAGCTTTATGTAGATTTTTGTAGCCCTCATTTTTAGATATCATTATAATGAGCATGCCTCCAATACTGTTAAAAATGTTATAAATATTTTTGATGGCTGTGTAATATTTTATCATGTACCTTGATTTACTGAAGCATTTTTTATTACTGGGAATTGTTAATTGCTTGAGATTTTTCTACTGTTATAAGAAGTATAACCATTCACATCTTTGAGGGTAAAGCATTTTCTTCATTTTGGATTGTTTCCTTAAAAGGAGAATCCCAGATGGGCCATTGTAAGGTCAGTGGACATATACATTTTTAAAACATTTGCCAAACTGCTTTCCAGAATTCTGCCATTTTCTTAAAGGATACCCTTTACCAGCAATGTGAGACAGTGCCTAGGTCACAATACTCTCATCAGTATCATTCATTGAATTCATTGTTTATTTGACAAGTAAAAAAGTCTCATTGTTTTAATTGCATTTCTTTGATTATTAATGAGTTGAATATTTGTCTATATATCTAATGTCTTATATTTTCCTTTTTGTAAATGGCCTAATATTTTTAAAGTGATCCATTATTATTAAATGTTAAGGAAAATTTTTCCTTAATATTTTTTTGTTGAGTGTTCTGAGGAATTTGAGTGTTAGTTCTTAGAAATGGTCCATGAAGCCGGGCATGGTGGGTCATGCCTGTAATCCTAGCACTGTGGGAGGCCGAGGCAGGTGGATCACGAGGTCAGGAGATCAAGACCATCCTGGTCGACATGGTGAAACCCCATCTCTACTAAAAATACAAAAAATTAGCTGGGCATGGTGGCACGTGCCTATAATCGCAGCTACTCAGGAGGCTGAGGCAGGAGAATTGCCTGAACCCAGGAGGTTGAGGTTGTAGTGAGCCGAGATCGTGCCATTGCACTCCAGCCTGGGTAACAAGAGCGAAACTCTGTCTCAAAAAAAAAAAAAAAAAAAAGAAAAAGAAAAAAAGAAATGGTCCATGAAAAGGGTACCAGTTCATTCACACTGGGGTCCAGGGGAGAGAAAGCTGTTTTTTGTTTTCATCTCCTTAAGATTCATTTAATGTAAGCTCTAGGAAGTCCTGCATTGGAGAAACCTGTGTCACCTGTGCTTCCATCTCCTTTTACCCTAAACCGCTTTCATTCAATGATAAATATCAGCATTCTTAGATAGCATTATTTCCTGGAACACACTTTTGGAAATGCTGTTTTGGAGGAAAGGTGGGGAATTGTGTTTATAATGACTAAATCATTTTTTTTTAGAGGCAGATTTACTTACTGGCAAGTGTATTCCAGAGGTCACAGTAAATGGAAGGAATAACTAATAGAAACAGTTCCCTTGATCACTACACTCACTGTGAAAAGAAGCTTAGATGTCAGGGGATTCTGTCATAAAAGAAGTGATTTACTCTTTGATGAATGAGTTAGGAGGTCACCTTGGGTCTGTTCATCGATTTCTGATTCCCAGTTATCTTTAGTCAAACATTCAAGTTTTCACTCAAATTTGAAAGGTGTCTTTAATAAATAGAATTGTATAGTATGTAGGCTCTTCACAGGTTTGAATTGGAGATTGACTCACATTTTTTTTCCTCCATATGCTCCAGTCCAAAAAAAAGAGAAAGTCAGCAAAACAAAGAACTTAGTACACTTTTTAAGACAAGTGATTCAGGAAAGATTATAAAAGCATAGATACAATCTACACATATGGGAGACTGGATCGTTACCCTGTAAAATTAGTGAACCTTTTTCCTGGGCCATTGCTCCAGCAGGACTCTGCCTCTTGGGATGTCAGAGACTGAGATCAGTAACATGTTTTAGTTGGAGTCTATGTCCCCTGAACCCAGGACTCTTTCTTTTTCCCACTTTGGTTAAAAGAATTATGACACATATGATAGGAAATCTGTCTACAATTTTGTTTGCAAAGTGTTAGTCACTAGATTAGAACAGAAAGAGAGTTTCTATTTAAAGAAACAGAATCCACCTTCTGCCCCAGGGCCAAAACCTTCTCCCATACAAAAGTCACTGGGAGGTTGGGAAGCAAGATAGGCTTCGAGCCTGTGTGTGTGTGTGTGTGTGTGTGTGTGTGTGTGTGTGTGTGTGTGTATGTATCTCTGTCTCTGTGGTGTGGAAGACTAAGGGAGAGAAGGATGTTTATGTGGGAGCCTGGTGGTGGAGGCTCAGCATGGGATGTCAGAACTCAAATAGAATGTAGAAGAATACATGTGAGAAGGGAGGCAGCAGCAATGGCCCAATGCTGGTGTGTTGGATCCTGAGGTAAGGAAGGCATTTTTGTGAGGGGGTGGACAGTAGAGGCCCAGCACTGGATGCCAGTATCAGGGAGGGCATCTGGGTGGAGAAGGAGGCAAGGATGGCAATAGAAGAGTGCTTCCATACAAATAAGCAAATATATAAAGAAAATACAGGCAAGGTTTTTCACTTGCATAGAATGAAGTCACAGATATATAAAGGGAGAAAACTAGAATAATTCCTATGTTGGATTAGAATAGGAGCCATCAGTGTGAACCATGACTTTCAATATGGGAAGATGGATATAGAAATAAATAAGAGATGTGATGTGCCTTTTGTGGTTCCATGTGTGTGTGATGCATTCCCTGGCTCCATTGATGGAAAGGGCCTGGAATGTGCAACACTAGGGAGCAGTGAGCACACATGTTGCCCAGATGTTGGTTTCTAAATACCATTTCCTACTAATAGAAACCAGGACTCATTGAAGAAGTCACCTGATTCTGGGGCTGAGGCAGAGAAAGTATAAGATGAATCTGAAATATCTTTTGTGCTAAAAAGTAAGGAATAGCTAAAAATGTGGTGGGAACACGTCAGAAGGACACAAAAGCAGTAAGAGGGCTCCCACTAGTCATATCTGGAACAATTTGAGCATCAAAACAAATGAGGATAGTAAAGGATTATAGCACACTGAATAAAACAGGAAACTATGGACCCATGGTAATATAAGTAAGTAAACGGATACATTGAAAGTTTGATGAATAGGATATTTACTTAAAGTGTCAATCCATAAAATGGTTATTTACTCCAAAGAGAAAGAGTAGTGTTACTGTAGAGATATCAAATGAATTAATCAAATGATGAAAGCAAACATCATCAGTGAAGGGACAAATTGAATCAGACATTAGACAAAACATTAGACAATTGAAAGTTTTTCTACAAAATGGGTGGTCTCATTGTCAAGGTCATACAAATTTAGGAAAGACTGAGGAGCTGTTCCAGACTCAGGATGAGTAGAGAGTAGTTATCACTACTAACTGCAACATGTGATTCTGAACCGGATTGTTTGCTGTCAAGGATATTATTGGCACAGCTGGCAAAACATGACAGGATCTGAGGATGAGATGATAATTCTGCATCAGTGTTAATTTCCTGATTATTGTGATTCTCTTAGTTTGTTTTCTGCTGCTATAACAGAACACCCCAGAATAGGTAATTTATAAAGAAAGCAGATCTATTTGGCTCACAGTTCTGGAGGCTGGGAAGTCCAAGAGCCTGGTGCTGGCATCTTGTGAGGACCTTGCTGGGTCATAACATGCCGCACTCGAGACAAGAGACACAAGTTGGAGGTCAAACTTTTATCAGAAACTCACATTAATCCATAGCATAATCGTCTTAAAGGTTCTGCCTCCTGATACTGTTACAGTGACAAATCGTCAACACATGAACTTTTGGGGGAAACATTCAAACCACAAGAATGATTAATTGTGATAATTTAGGAGAAAGTTTGTATCTATGTATCATGGGGCATAATCTTGACAACTCATTCTCAAATAGTTCAGGAAATAACTGTTCAGTAAGTTTGAGATTGTTTCAGAGCAAAACTAAATACATGCAAACACATGCCCTCAAGTTCATCTCTCTGAGAAGCTTGTTTGATTTGTCAGAGCTCAGATTGAAACAAGCTTGTAGTCTGGGTGCATCTTCTTTTTCCTTTCCTTAAATTCACTACTTAAATAGACAGCTGTAGTGAAGCAAGAAGGGCTCAGGCCTGCATGTCACCCCTTAGCTGTGCAAGTTATTAACAGGCTAATTTGAGACAAGTTACTTCACCTTTTGGAGCCTCCGTTTTCACATCTGTGAAGTGGGTAGTTGGGAGGGTCAAACAGAGGATGAGTGGATACAGATATACACTTAGCAGTATTATATTAGTACAGAGAATTCCACAGGGTGGGAGAAATGGCATTTGGATAATTCTGTGAGCAGTGTTCTTGTTCTTTTGAGCATTTTAGAGGTGAATTCATTTTCAATCAAATAATTTATATTGCTTTGTATGTCATTATGTTGCTCAATTTCATGACTTAAAATGCATAGCTACCGTCCTATATTGCATGCTGTTGTACTTAGTTCATTTCTTACTTTCCATAATTGGAGGCTGCCATGTGTACTCACGGAATGCTCAGTAAAATTAATTGAGGGTAATGATGATGAAGACAAGATCTATACTGTCGTCGTCATTTCTCCCAGCCACCCCCACCCTGTAAGCTAGGATTGTTTGCATTTAAAAGTTGTTGCTATGGAGTTGAGGGGATAGATTTGCTGAGAGCTTATGGTATATGATCCATAAAAGGCGGTCATGGTAGGTGTCTCACTGAGTAGAAAATGTCAAACTTGGTGTAGGAGGATCTATTTGGCTCTTATGTTTGAGGCATACGCAGTGTCTTTTGTCAAACCCTACATGAATATCAAACTTATTTCTGTGCTGGGGCCAGCATCTCCCCAAGCCCCTTACTTGTGTGTGCCCAGACCTCCCTGCAGGTATCTTACTAAGGGCTCAGCCTTGCTTTTGTTACTTAGGCCTTTTATTTCTTTCAGGAAAATCAGTGGAATGAGCTCCTTGAAACTCTGCACAAACTTCCCATCCCTGACCCAGGAGTGTCTGTTCATCTCAGTGTGGTAAGTGGGGAAGAGTATTAGCCATTACTGAGAACCCATTTCATAACTGACAGTAAGAGGAGTTAGCTGAAGAGTATTGTATTTTGTCATCTGTACCTCCCCTCCCCCATCCCCAAACACTTTTACACCTCTGGGCTCAAGGTAGGCTAGGGAGTTGAATTTCTTCCTTTTTCTGAGATTCTATAAGAAGTAGACAGGTCTTAAATGTCTTCAGGCTCCTCTGTGGCCATCATCCCTGGCATCACTAGCATCTCCTGGATCACAGATGCTGGGGTGAAATAGGACAGCGGGCCCCGCCTACTTTCTGAGTCCCTGTCCCGGCCTCCCTGCATCACCCTCGCTCCCCAGCACTGCTGTGCGTGTCCCTTTGCTGAAGCCCATCCTGCACCCTCAGCTTTCAACATTTCCTCTCCCCTGTGTGCCAGGGTAGCAGATATTCATCCTTCAGAACTCAGCTCTGATTTTATTTCCAGAGAAATCCTCCCTTGATACCTCGGAGGTTTAGCTAAGATCACCTCCTTTGCCCCAAGCATCTTACACACTTTGCAGTACTTAGTTACACCCTATTGGAATGATCCCTTTTCCTGTCCCCCTCACTGGACTGTGTGTCCCTTGAGGACAGAGAGGGAGAGTGTTTAGTCTTGTTCCTGGCCTTCAGTAATAGTTTCTTTGAATGCCTGTAAATATGTACTGCTACCGCATTTTCTGCAGCATGCTCTGAACTACCAATTGGAAGATTTCCATCCTAGTCATTGTCTTGCCAATGACTTGAGTGACCTTAATCAGGACCTTTAACCTTGTCGGCTTCAGTTTCCTCATTGGTCAGATAAGACATCAGAAGAGGCATAGGAGATCTTTTTCATATTTTGGTTCCAGGAATTCTCTAATTCCCCAGGTCAAACCCTCAAGCCCTTGTCACTACCTTCATCAGAATTCTCAGACAGACATACTTTGACCAGGTATTGATTATTATCCAGGGGTTAAGTCATGGGGCCTGAAAGTTTTAAGAGTTTTGTCTTTCATCTTCATTAGAACCAGGCACAGTGTTGGTATTCAGTGGTGGAAAGGTATCTTCCCTCCTAAAGAAAATTAATTCCTTATAGGTTTTTTCAGAATGACGATAAAATTGAAAACAGTGTTACTACCAGTAATTAATAATCTATTTTAAGTTCCTAATTTATATTAAATATGTATCTCTAATATTCAGTACAACTCTACAAAAATAGATATTAACATTCTCATGTTATGGATGAGGTTACAAGAGGAAAAGATACCTGCCCTTCCAAAATCATGTGATTAATAAGAGATAAGACTTGAGTTTTCAAAGCCAGGGCTAACTTCAAGCCTGTGTTCTTTCCACTGTGCCATATGTGTTGAAGGAGAAGAAGAGAAGGAAGGAAGGAACGAAAAAAAAAATGAATTTACAAAGATTTTTGCTCATTTTAATAGAGCATAGGAAGGAAAGAAACCTTGCTACAAAAATTCTTATATGGCAGGGAAGACCGTCTGGAAAAGATGAGCAAATGAGCTTTAAAGCTGCCCTAGTCCTTGCTGTATAGCTAAGCAACCCTGCCTTTGTCTCTGCAGCTTGATCTCACCACTTCAGTCTGTAATAACATCCGACAGGTAGCTGTGGAGTAGCCCAGCTGGGTCACCAGCTGCTGGGGAGGAAGGTCCACTCCTTCCCTCGAATGGCTGCTCAGGCAGAGTGCATGCCAGGCCTCAAGGACAAGCCATCTCAGGGGCAGCAGGAACTGCTGGGGTGGCGCAGCTGTTTCATGCCAGTGGTTTCTAGGAATGTTTCTGACCTCTCCTGGTCCCCAGCATTTCATGGGCAATGGAGCAAGACAGAATCTCAAAGGACAGCCTGGGGACTACTTGGTTTTAGAATTGTGTTGGCTTACTATTTACTATCCATCGTATCTGTAAAGGCAGATATTTTTTTCTTTCCTTTTCACTGGGGATTCCTCTCTCCATATTGCATTTCTGATTTTGAAGGACTACTCTCACCTAGGTAATACATCCTGAAATGCTGATAAAATGGTAATTCTGAACTTTTTGTCTCCAGTCGCTCTCTGCAAGAGAATATTTCTATGTATCTGATATGAGTAATTGATAAAAATAGTAATGTGAATTAGCAGTTCAGAGCAATATTAATTTTATATTAAAATACCATTTATTGAACAGTAGACACTTCATATATATCACATTTATTCTTCAACAATTTTGAAGTAGATAATATGATTCCCATTTACAGATTCAAAAACTGAGGTTCTGTGCTATTAAGTGAATTTGCTAAGCTACATAGCTATTAAGTGGCTGGTTCTTTGGTCTGAGCTCTTTCCTTTTCATCATGCCAAACTATTACTTAGGTGACTCTGTCACCACATGGCCTGTTACTGAACTAAACTTCTAGCCCTTTGGTATAGAAGTTGGTGTCTCATTGAGTCATATCTGAACCCTGTATTTTACTTTTCCTGTTTTAATCTTCGTTGTTGAATTAATCATTTACTAGTTTCCACACTACACCATCTCTCCTGTAATACTTCATAGGTAGTATTTTGACATACACACAGATTTTGGAATAATCCATCAAAGAAGGCTTTTTTTAAAGTTATCTTTTTTATAATTTTTATTTTTTACTTTTTTCTTATTTTCATTCAAGTCCCTTTAGCTGTCATTTGCACATAAAAAGGACAGATACAACAGTCTGTTATAGTGGAAAGAGCATGGCTCTAGTTACACAGATTTGGTTTTGGTCCTTTTTCTGCTGCCTACTACCTGCGTAATCTTTGAGTACTTGACCTCTGTGATCATTAATTTACCCATTTGTAATTTGGAGATAATATCTATCTCAAAATTTATTATGGTAATTAGAGCTAACATTTAGAGTATTAGACATAATGCCTTTCATATATCAGGTATTCTATTCAACAAATATCTGTTGAATATTAGACAAGTACCTTATACTATTATTGTTGTCATCATCATTAAAATTGTCCCCAGGGCCTTTCATTTCAGAAAGCCTATACAACTCATTCTTCTAGAGACTCACTTATTTTGCAGTCACCCAAGAGTCGAGGTTGCAGTGGACAACTTCCTGAAATGTCACTTGGGGGTTCAGGTTTGAACTTAGGCCATGGCTAAGCTGACCTTCTCTGCATGTGACCTTTCCTGGCCTTTGCACAATCCCATCTTTAATTGGCCAGCACCAAGCTCTTTCTATTCCTGCTTGCCATTGTCCTCTGAGTCTTTAATAGCGGCAAAGGAGGTGTCATCAGTTCAGCCTGCTCTTATTTAACTCAGGGATGCATGCTTGTTGCATATGGAGATGACTCATTGGAAGTTCTTTGAAGAGGTAGATTTTTTCAATTCCACTGAGTTTCCAGTCAGGAGGTTTATGATGGAGTGGGCTTCGAGGGCAGAATTTCTCCACTCTTGGTCATCTGCAGTGGTCCCAGCTTCAGTGCTCCAGCAACTGGAACTCTTCTTAACATCACTTAGGCCTTTGGGGCACATTTTGGCCACATTTTGTAGATGAATATAATCTCAGATGCTGAAACAAGATGGCAAGTTTTGTTGGTAAAAATCATCACTGAGTGAATCTGGTGATATTTTGTCCCTAGAATACGCTTGCCTGATTCAACACTAAATTATGAAACCAACAGCTTTCATGTGTTTAGAAACCTGCAAAATTCATATAGGAATTTAGCCTTTTAAACTCTTTGAACAAACTCTCTATCTATTGATCTATCTATCTATCTATCTATCTATCGCGGAATTTCGTTCTTGTTGCCCAGGCTGCAGTGCAGTGGCTTGATCTCAGTTCACTGCAATCTCCACCTCCCAGGTTCAAGCGACTCTCCTGCCTCAGCTTCTCAAGGAGCTGGGATTACATGTGTCTGCCACCATGCCTCGCTAATTTGTATGTTTAGTGTAGATGTGGTTTCACCATGTTAGCCAGGCTGGTCTTGAACTCCTGACTTCATGTGATCTGCCTGTCTTGGCCTCCCAAAGTGCTGAGATTACAGGTATGAGCCACTACTCCTGGCCTGAGCTCATTCCTTTCTATCTCACAAGGAAGTTCTCCTCTCATAGAAAAGAACTCCATCTACCAAAGTGATGATTTAATGCATCTGGTTCAATATGAAAATACCCAAAGAAAATATTATATGGTTGTTTCTTATGAGTGAAGCCATTTCCTTATCTGAGTAGGGAAATATCTTCCAATCATTAACCTGAATTCTGAGTAATGTGATTGTTATACATTTTGGCAGAAATAAATCACTTTTGCTTTTCTTTTCTAGCATTCTTATTTTACTGTGCCTGATACCAGAGAACTTCCCAGCATACCTGAGAATGTGAGTACTTGGGAAGAAAAAATTAAATTTTTACTCTCTGTTTTCTGCTTATTTATTTTAATAAATAAAGGATGTGATTTAAGGTATAATTATAAAAAATAAGATTTTTAAAAAGAACACATTGTAAAAACAAAAATATAAGAACTGAAATGCATTATGAAAACAAAAACAGAATATTTGCAAAGCATAGAAAGTATAAAGACAAGGAGGGATTGTTATTCCTCCTTCTCAAGAGTAATTATGTGTTAACATGATATTTGATTCCCTCTTTTTAGAATGTATTTTTAAATAGTTAAATCACCTATTATAAAAACATCTTTTCCATTTTCATCCATAAGTTAATTTTGTCACCTATGTAATATTCCATTTGCTGTGTAGTGTATTTAGCCATTCTCTCACTGTAGAACATTTAGATTACTTCTCATTTCTGCTATTTTAAGTGAAATGTTTCTATATAAAGAATTTTCCAAATAGAGGTTTATTAGGGTAGATTTGTTCAAGCAGGATTACACTTCTACTTCTTATTCTTGTATATATAGCTTTCAGAGAATAAAATAAAGTATTTGTGGGTAAAGTATGAGGGCACCCATCCCTACCTCTGAAGGATGTAGGAGCAGTGAACTAGAGTGTGAGAGAGCAGAAGGTTGGTGTTTGCCCTCTGAACAAGCTGAATGACATATCTAGTCTACTGCATGACATGTTTTCAAAATGTTTTACTGTGATTATAAATAGTACTATGTAGAATCAGATAAAGATGTCTACCACTTAGACACTTGATTACTTTTTAAAAATTGTAACAAATACGTAACATAAAATTCACCATCTTACATATTTTTAAGTGTACAGCTTGGTAATTTTAAATATATTCATATTTCATACATTCAGTGTCCAGAACTCTTTGTATCTTAATGAAACTGAAGCTCTGTATTCATTAAACAATTCCCCATTCTCCTGTCTCCCCAACGCCTGGCAACTATCAGTCTGCTTTCTGTCTCTATGAATTTGACTACTCAATATAGTACTTCACGTAATGAAATAATACAAGTATTTGTCCTTTTGTGTCTGAGTTATTTCACTTAGCCTAATGCCTTCAGAGTCCATCTGCGTTGAAGCATGTGTCAGAATAGCCTGCCTTTTTAAGGTCGAATGATATTCCATTGTATGTGTAGACCACATTTTGCCTATCTGTTCATCCGTCAATAGATACTTAGATTAGTAGATACTGTTTTCACCGTTTGGCTACTATTAATAATACTGCTTTGAATGCTGGTGTACAAATACTTGTTTGAGTCTCTGCTTTTAAATCTTTTGAGTGTATATTTGAATATTTGATTAGAAAAGTACTGGAATAAGTGGTATATCTTTTCATAACTACTGTAGATTCACAGAAAAGAAATTTTTCTAAGTGTTTTCTATAGAACAGATTACAAATGTCAGGTGATCAAATGTAATGAATGAAGTTTGGCTGTAGTATTCTGATTAGGTAACAGTCTTGCTAAGTTAGGATTATCAAGCATAGCCACACAGTATATTATCTGTATGATCAGGCTATGGTAGAAAATATTACATCCTTTTTGTTTGACATTAACTAAAAAAAATTCAGACCAGAGTTTGCATTTCAACAAGAGTAGCTAAAGTTTGTTGAGAACTACTGCTTGTCAAATGACATATTTGGTGCTTTTCTCCATTTCCTCACTTACCTCTCTCAACAAACTTACGTGGTAGCTATCTTAATTATTCTCATTTAATATAAGGAAAGAAAAGCTCTGAAAATTAAGTAACATATTCAAGATCCTACAGCAAATAAATGTTAAAATCAGAATTCAAATATTGGTCACTTTGAGCCCATGATTTGTCCCTTTGAGCTCTCAGAAAATTCAATTGAAATTACGAAAGAAAGGAGAAAAATATTTCCCTAATGTCAGAGGAAGACACCATGAGCCAGAAAGTTTGGGAATTTACGTAACATAAAGGAGATGATGACTGATAGTTGCAGTCAGTTCAGCATAGACAGTGGAGACATCCAAAAGGAAGTGAAAAATAGTGCAGGAAGAGCAGAAGCAGAGGCATACTCTGACTATGAAGGAGGCTACTGAAGGATTATTTTTAAATTGGGCATTTATAAGAATTGATCATGTACTAAATCACACCAAGAATTTCAAAGTAGAGAACTAAACTCTTACAGGTCAGTGACTTTTATGGCAGTGAACTAAAACTATAATAATAAATTAATTAAAGATTTAAAAATGTTCATCTATTTGAAAGAGCAGTTGAATCAAAGATGATAAAAATTAAAGTTAGATGTTATTTAGAAATTAATGACAATGAGGACACTAAACAAGTACCTTAGGGGTGTGGCTAAAACCATACTCAGGGGATAATTTATAGCTTTGAATGCTTTTATATAAATAAGAAATTTAAAAAACAATGAACCTGACTTTCAAGGAACTAAAAAAAAAAAAAAGGATAGTAATAAAAAATAACCAAAACTAGAAAAAGGAATTATAATGTAATTTATTAGGGAATATTGCTGAAGTAAAATTGAAAAATAGTAGTTAAAAAACTGAATTTATGAAAAGAATAAAATTTTAAACTTATTCAATAAATTTAAAAATTGTGAAAACAGAAAAATTTCTGGAAAAATACAAACGATAGTTGGCCTGAGAAATAGGCAATATGAGTATAGAATTGTAACTTTAAAAGATTAATAAAGCTCTATTGCAATTCCATCCTTCTAAAAATATGTCAGGTTTAGGTGGTTATATAGGTGTTACTGGAGAAGATAATTATTACTTAAACAGTATCAAATCATAGAAAAGGGATGTGTGTATGTGTATCATGCAACAGCAAAAGAAAAATCAAGCATAGTCCCCTATCTCAGAAATCTGTTCCTGAGATTTTTCTTCAGTCTCTTTTATGGTATGGTAGTTTTTCACACTGTGCTACTAGGACCTCCAGTGTTGCTTTGGGAGCCCTGGAAGGCCTCACTGAGGTAGGTGACTAACTGACCAGAGAACTGGATCCCTGCTCCTGTTTTATTCAGAGCAAATTAATTTCCACTGCTTAAATTGGGAGTTGAGTAATACTTTGTTTGAGATGAAAGTGTTCTATTTTTTTTGTTAAGTTTAGAAACTTAACATTAAATGCATACAAAATATACATACTTTATATCTGTTTTTCTTGTAGCAATATACTATGAACGTTTACCTGTGTTATTAAAAACTCTTTACAAATATTTTGTTGTAAAAAATTAATACCAACATATAGAGAAAAAAATGAAAGGCTCCCCGCCATTACCACCATCCCTGCCAAACCCCAATCCTACTATCCCTCCAGTGTTTGATGAAACCTTTCTCTATGAATTTAGTATTATATGTGTGAGTACCTGTGTATGTGTTGTAGACGGTTTTTAAACATAAATATGATGCTATTCATACTTGTTTGGCAACTCATTTTTTTGTTTAATGTATTCTAAAAAGTGTTTCTATCTACCTCCTTCATCCTTTTTAATGATATACTTATTCAGTGGTATTTTTATTCTTATGAAAGTAATGCATATTAATGGCTTAAAAAATCATGTAGTACCACATAGTTGATGAAAATGAGCAATTTCCAAGTTGCCCACCTACTTTCAAGATTTTAGCAGCTGTGCTTCCCTTCGTATTTTTGAATAACCTATTCATGTTGTTGTATCTTAATTTTTTGGTCTTTTACCACCCCTGACCATCCCCACCCTGAAACACACAAAATAACATTCTCCCAGTTACATATTTTCCATCTCCCATTCTTCCTGTATCTTTAAAAAATTTTTACATTAAATCAGAAGTTAATGTTTACATTTTAATGAGCATGCTGACACAGAGAGTAGATTACCTTTTCTTTCTTATACAACTTTTTGTCACATAAGTGTTCTTGTGTTTCACATCTTTTTCATTCTTGATTTTATTCCCTCATTTTGGTGAAACATGTGCTGGTAGTTTTCTTCAGAAAGTACTCTGTTAGAGGCGACATTTTTAGACCTAGCATGACTAAAAATAACTTTCTTCTTCTTTTTTTGAGGCAGAATCTTGCTCTGTTGTCCAGCCTGGAGTACAGTGGCACGATCTTGGCTCACTGCACACTCCACCTCTTGGGCTCAAGTGATTCTCCTGCCTTAGCCTCCTGAATAGGCATGGCTACAGGTACACAGCACCATGGCAGGCTAATTTTTGTATTTTTTAATAGAGATAGGGTTTTACCATGTTGACGAACTCCTGACCTCAAGTGATCTGCCTGCCTCAGCTTCCCAAAGTGCTGGAATTACAAGCCTGAGTCACCACACGCAGCCATTTTATTCTTCTTTTGATAGTTTGACTGGGTATAGAACTCTAGGTTGGAAATCACTCTCTCTTTAAAACTTTGAAGATGTTTCTCCACTAACTTCTAGCTTTCCTGTTGCAACTAAGAAGTCTCAGGCATTCTGATTCCTATGATTTATTTATTGTAACCATCCTTTGATGGTCCCTCCTGGTATCCTGAAATTGCAGTGATGTACCTTGCTGTGGGCCTGTTTTCATCTACTGTGCTGGGCACTTGGTGGTTCCATTTAATCTGGAAACTCATGTCCTTTAGAGCTGAGGACTTTTCTCACATTGTATCGTTGAAAAAATACTCTTCATTTTTCTTACTTTCTCTGGGGCCTCTATGACAGAATATTAAATCTCCTGTATTGATCCTCTAATTTTCTTGTTTTTTCTCTCCCATTTACCATCTCTCTCTTTGAGTTTTCTCTCTGCTTTCTTCTGTCATTATATTGATATTTTCACTCATCTGTGAGACTGTATTTATAGATTTTAAAAATTGTTCTTCTTCTTGGATTATCTTCTTGCCCATCATTCCTGTCTTCGTGCTCATCATTCCTATCTTCTCTTTGTTTTGTTCCATAACTTTCACTGTAGAGCCTTTCCTCAAATGGCTGCGCCGTTACATTTAAGAGTGAGGCACTAAAAAGCTGACTGGAT